CCTACATGCGATGGCCTCCATCCTAGAAGCACTGGCCTCCAACCTAATGGCCTGGAACCTAAGTACCTATTGTAAATCTGGCCACATGCCAGGACGACTCCAGCGCAGCTTGGCCCGCATCCACCTGCCCCTTGTTCCCGTCGACCTGCAGGGTGTATGGACGGTCTTTTTATTTCTTTGCAGGTGCATGCGTATCAGTTCAAGTTCAAAGCTTGACTCCCAAGCTGGAGATTGAATACAAAAATTCGCTGGTGACTAAACCAGAAGTGCACGGATTGTTGAAAGTCTGCAAAGTAAGTCCAAATGAAATCCACAAAATGAAGCAAAGCAAAGAAAGGTTACGGTGACCGACGGTGACTCGGTGACTCCCAAATTTATCAACAGCTTTGAACGGTTGGCCTGACGTCCGGGAGGAACAGCCTGCCGACCTTTACGCCTTGGACGGGCTGACAATATGATTGTATCCAAATGAACAAAGCAAACAAAATCAAAGCGATCAGAAATCAAAGCGATCAAAGCGACAGTGGCAATGACGAAGAAATGAAACATTTAACTTTCTCTTGGTGCGCGCCCATCATCGACTTGACGTCTTTGAGCTCCACTCCTAAACACACTTGGCAAAATCAACTCACGCTTGACGTCTTTGAGTCTGTAGGCTTCACCATAATTACCTCAACTCAAAATAACTGTACTTCGAGCGGGCTGTTGTCACAAGGCAAGTAGTTTCTGAAATTCGTGAGTGTCTTACCTAGTTTGGCGGAAATTCAGAAATTTAAGAAATGTCTGAATTTCTGACATTCTTTAGTTCTTTATGAGATTTTATTAATTGCATAGTTCGGCAGAAAGTCCGGATGTTATCATGTTCATGTTTGCTGTGTCCATTGTGATTTGATTCTGATGGTGTGACTAGCTATTCTCCTTGTCATTGATTGTGTTATATATCGTGGCTTTCCATTCCTCTCATCATAGTGTCGCTCGTCGCACTTTCACTATGTTTGTGTTTACGCTTGTCTACCGGGCGCTCCGGTAGGATACTGTTTGGTCCACTGGCAGAACCCTGGCAGGATAATACTGGGTTCGAAAGTTGTTGGGGCAGAAGAAAACACCTTGCGTACAAACGGATTACCCCCTGTCAGTTGAGGCATTCGATTGATTTTCGGTGTCTACGCCGCTCGCAGTATAAATCCATCATGAATAGATTCTATGTAATCGATCAGTTCTCCATGAGCATGTGCAAGCCGTGCTGCTTTGCATTAGAAGTTGCAAGCCCGGAATGAAGATGCGTGTTTGACTGTACTTGACACTCTTCCGCTGCTTCAGAATATCAATCTGGGAATACTACCCTTTGCCACGCTTCCCTCCTCAAAGTCACACAGCAACGATTCTTGGAGAGCATATATAATGTTCAAGGAAAGTCCAACTAGGCAGCTCACCATCATGATAGCCAGCCTGAAGAGGTCGCCATAAAAGTGAGTGCGCCGAGAAATGTCGAGGGCCTTTGGCCTTTCATTCTTTTCTACAATTACATTTGATATTATATAGATATTCATCCGCAACCAGCCACGAATGCCAAATTGAATGATTGGCTCCAGCAAAACACGACCCAATGCCTGCCCGAAGGCATCCACGGCTGGCACACCTTTGCCGCCCATACCTCGATGCCATGCTGGAACTGGAACTTCATCAATTGTCCTTCATGTTCAAGCTGCCTTTCTTTTCTTTCTCATGAAACTTGCCACTCCACCTACTAATGCTTCGTCTGAGTTTCCAACGAATTGAAGATAAGTCGTCCATTCCCAAAGGCTGCCTCTGCCAGAAGTCGCATCAAACTCGCATCAAGTCGTCCATTCCCTCGCAGCTTGGAGCGATGTCTCGCCTTGGCGCGTAAGGTGCCATGCCAGCCTGCGAGGGAAGCTGCCAAGCTGGGGAGCTGGAAGCTTCGACCGATTCAGCACCTGAGGATTTGCAAACCGGTTCGCATCTTGCGCTCCATATGCCAACCCGGCCTGGCAAAACAACAAAGTATCTCCGAAGACATCCAAAAGTGTTGTTTGTTTTTGCAGTAAAGATGCATCCTGTTTGCTTTGCTTGCTTTGCTAGCTGCTAGCGGTTTGCCGCACCTGGTATTGTGCCGTGATGGGATCCAATCCCTGACACGTGAAGACAGGAACTTGACAAAAAAGAATCCACAACTCCGCGTTGGAACTGTCAACTTCATGACTTCCACACAACCCGCGACTTTTCAGGGTTGCTTCACTTTGTGGACTTGCAGAAGCAATCTTGTTGCACCTTGTTTCTCGTAGTCAAGTCTAAACTCATGTGGATAGAGTGCATTGTAACATTTGTCATGTGGACGCAGAGCCGCTGAGCCAGAGAGCCTATTTTAGAATCGCTGGTGCATTCTTGAATACATGCGCTAGTTGTTTGTGCCCCCTTCCTAGCCTCGAAACCAGAGGGTGATTGCAGTGATTGCAGTGTTTCTGTGTCTTGCACACCTGTTGTTTGAAAGCATGAGCGCGCCCTCTCCCCCACTAAGATTGCAATTTATACGTAAATGTTGTACCAAAAAACGCATAATTTCGTTTGGAGTAGCGACAGCATCGGCACGCAATCCGTGCTTGTTTTGAGAAAAATATTAGCGTCCGATGCCAGCTCAACGGCATCATCACATGTTGCAGTTGTGGCACACACACTTCCTGCATCGCGCGCACGTGGGCAATTTTTTGGTTGTTGAGGCATAATGTAATGTGGAATGCATACAACACACAAATGATGATGATGATGATGATGATGATGATGATGATAAGGGCCATGAGCTATCAAGCTCTAGCTATGCCCAATAGCTAGGGCTAGTGCGGAACCCCCCATGCGAGCATGGACATCGACAACATCCTGACGGATCTGATCTCGCTGCCTTGGTTCGTGCACTACTTGTTTTTAGAGCCCTTTGTTCTTGTGACCTTGGGCACCCTCCTTTTCCGCTTTGAGAACTACCAGCTTTGCTCTACTTCTTTGAGGCAACGATCACGGTCTCCAAGCTGGTCCTCCCAAGGTCTCAGCAGGAGCTTGCTAGCTCACCGGGGTCCCAAGTCCCCGGCCAGGGAGAGATTTCAACCCCTTGTGCTCCTTCTTGTAACTGCGGTTCTCTACATCATGGTTCGTGCTCAACCCACATGCCACTCCCTGGAGGCCCGAGGGTTCTGATGCCGCCACGGGCATCAGTGAAGCCCACAACACACCACAGAAGCCCTTATTTCACTGGGCAAAGCACAGTGGCCTTGGACCCCAACAAGACCGCCATGATGTACAACCATTTTCCAGGAAGAAATCCTTTCTTCGTGCTCTCAAGAGGGCTCAACTGCATGGCATGACCTGGTACAAAGGTAAGCTGTACAGCGCCTCCATGCTTGGAACCTCACAGATTGACAACCCACCTCAGGTCCTCACTACTGTGAAACCCACGAGTCCAAAATCTCCGGGATCAAAGCTGAAGGCCAACAGATTCAGTGGATTCAACTGGAACATTGGAGCTCTTAGCAACTACAAGCTGGATATTTTGAAAACATGGATGATCCCTCAACCCCTTTCGGTTCTCACTATACAAGACACCAGGTGGGGGTTCACGGGGGACTGGATGGACGACCACTTCGCCTACATTCACAGCGGCTCCAACGGCTGGGCCGGTGGAGTTCTCACTATTGTGAGACGCTCCTTCTGTCCTCAGGAGCGGATCAGCTGGAGAGAAGTGAACTCCTGACTTTATGGTGCTCCTTCTGGCTTTCTCATGGCCACATCCCAGAGGAATGGAGAAGAGGCTGGGTTGTTCTACTTCCGAAGCCCAACAAACCTCCCACAGAGCCAAAAGCTCTTCGTCCGATTGCACTTCAAACTCCGCTTTCGAAAACCTTCATGTCTCTTTTCGTGCAACATGCCAAGCTTTTTGCTCTTCCTGGGTTGGTTCGGTATCCGCAGTTTGCCTATCTACCTGGACGTGGCACATGGGAAGCAATAGCAAGAGTCACCTCTCATGTTCGTGAGGTTCAAAATCTGCTGGCTCGCTGGAAATATGACGCCAATGCTCCAGTGAATGACCGGGCAACCCGTCCGAAGGTGTACGGGGGCTGTCAACTTTTTCTAGACCTCACAGGGGCCTTTGATGCAATGCCTCGTGAACACCTCAGAGATGCTTTCAGACTTCTTCAGCTTCCTGAAGATATCATTTTGTTTCTTCTCACCTGGCACACAGATACTGCCTACATTGTTCAATGGAAAGGGTTGGAAGCTGAACAGCCTACCTTCAAAGGCATCCGTCAAGGATGTCGTGGCGCGCCCCTTTTCTGGGCTTGTTTCATTGCCCTGATCCTTGACCATGTGGCTGCTAAAACGGATGTTCACTGGATGAGGAACCACTGCACTTTTTATGCGGATGATGGTCACGCATGCTTTGTTTTTCATTGTTGGGATGAACTCCAACGGGGCCTTACCTTCTTTGGACGACTCATCAACATTTTGGAACGACTGGGTATGAAGGTGAATATGACCAAATCAGCGGCAATCATCCAGTGGCGTGGCCCTGATCGTGCACAGGCCAACAAGGCTTTTGTCAAACAGTCTCAACATGGGACAATGCTTCGGATTCCAAAAGAGCACATCACAGAGTATGAGATTCCCTTGAGGGAGCACCAAGACTATCTTAGGATTTCAGTTGGATACAAGCAAATGTTGCGGGGAACAATGCAGAAGAGATTGAAAGCATGTACACATCGACATCGTCAGATGAAACCATGGTTTTGCAACTCCACGATTCACACGGCTCAGAAGCTGTCCTTGTGGGAAACGTGTGTCCTTCCCATTGCACTCTATGGTTTGGACTCAACTGGTGTTGATCAAGTCACACTCACTCAGTTTTCGAAGACCATTCTTCCTCAACTTCGGCAAGTGATGAGAGACCACCAGTACATCTCACACACAAAACATGCAGACTTTCTCAACGGTTACAATCTCAGACACCCTGTCATCCTGCTTCGGGGCCGCATGGCAGCGCAATTATCCCGGCGAGGCGAGACTGGAATCACTTGCACAAGATGATGTTGTTTGTGAGATTGACACCACTGGATTGCAGACCTCACTTCAACTTACCCACGCATGGCTGCAGGAACATGATCACGACCTTGCTCCATCTCTCCCACTCGCGGAGGCAGGACTGGATTGCCCGAGATGTGGTTTGACTTTTCGTCATCTCTACACGCTTCGTCGACATGAGATGCACTCACATGGAATTGTCCCAACCGCTGGCCCGACGCTGGATATTGCTAGAGATTCCATACATGGCAAACCAGTCTGCCGGCACTGTGGGGACTCATTCATCTCGTGTGGCAGAATCTGACTCACCACATTCAGCACTATGCATGTCCCAGCTTTGACTCATCTAAGGCGCCTCCAGAGCAACTTCAGGCACATCGACGTCAGCTGCTGGCCTATCACGATCAAGGCGAACTTCAACCACTGAGGCAAGACAGGGAGCTCTGCTACTTCCTCTCACAGAGATGCATTCTCTGTGGCTTCTGGTCCGCCAGACTTCAACAGATGTCTGCTCACATGGGGAGAGACCACCCTGAGGCATACAACTTGATGAGTGAAGTTCTTCCCAATGTGACTAGAGCCAGAATGCCATCACCCTGTGCCTTGTGTGGCCAGGAATTCAAGTCCCGGACGCACACCTGTCCGGTCAAGAAGCAACTTGGTCTGGCTCTTGCTGACCGCCGTCATCGAGCTGAATGTCCAGAGAGCCCACCACCGGTTCCTCAACCAGTTCAGCGCGTGGATGCCTCCTGTGCCTCGTGTCCCAGGAAGTTTGTCACGATGGCTCGCCTACATCAACACCAAGCACTTGAGCATCCTCACACGACTACGGCCAGGACCTTTCTGGCAGATCGTGACCAAGTACCTGGACGCAACCAATGCTCACACTGTGACCAGGAGGTTCTCTGCTTAGAAGCCTTGAAGCATCACATCATTGCTGTGGCATCATCCTGTCATTGTCACGGGACTACATGGGGGCACCTTTGACCACATGACCGGCTACAAATCTCTCATGAGGAGACTTGGCCACATCTGTGGTCTATGTGGTCTTCAGTCCACCAGCTCTACCAATCTTCTTCGACATCTCAGCACCACTCATGGTCGACAATGGGACTCGATCACCTCCTACGCCGAGTGGCTTCAGACCACAAGCGCACTCAGGAATGCTGGCTGTACCTGTCTTCGTCCACCGACACAACCACATGTGTGCACTGTCTTCTCACAACTGGCCCTCTTCGTTCATTATGACCTCACGAAGTTCAGAGAAGCCTCAGCTGGAACAGTACTTGCACATGCATTGAAGCTGGACCTTCAGGTTCTCAGCCCCACATTGGAGCTGAACTTTCCTGAGTTGGACACCAAACTGACAAGGGGACTCTTCGACCCCCTGCTTCAGGATCACGAACTCTGTGCAGCCCTCAGTTCTTGGTGCAGCCTTTGTGGACGGCAGATTGATCCTAGAGATCTTTTGCAACATCTCTGGAACTCACACGCAAAACATTGCAACAGGGGCAGCTTGTACTACGAGTACTTAACTTCTTTTCAACAACGTCAGCAAGCATGCTCCATTTGTGAATCACACCCCGCCGCTGCTCAGTGCCCAGTGCTCTTGCAAATTGCAGCCCTCCTGGCCATTTTGCACCATGGTCACGGACAGCAGCGGTCCGGTCTCGGAGATGTGGGGAGCCTTGAACACATGGATGAAGATGGAGGTCGACGACGAGAACCCGAACAGATCCAAAAGGCAGAGGTCCACCACGTCGAATGGCGTGAAGGGCCAGGGCAAAGGAAAAGGAAGAAAAGGGCAGGCGAAGATGCAGAACATCAAGGACGAATACACACAAGATTCAAAAACCGTCCTGCAAACCCTGTCCAAGCTGGTCCTACGCCACGAAGACCGCCTACAGTGCCTGGCCATGGAGACGGACTTCTTCGCCCCTTTGAGCGCAGGCCCAGGCTCAGTTCTCAAGCTGATGATGTCCAAGACGACGGAATGGCATCAAGCACCGCAGGAGGAAAGACCCCTGCCTCTGAGAATCCTGATCTTGAAGGCGATGCTGGAGGAACT